TCAGAACGAGGAGGGCGCGCACGTACCAATTGGTTCGAGATGAGCGCTGGTGTGCTAGTTAATATTCTTGCGCGAAACGAAAAACAAGGCGTAAAAAAGGTCAACGCGCGATGACCCAAAAAACAAGACAAATAGTAGTCGACAAAATGTATGCTTTCCTATACCGCTACAATATCCCGCCTTTCGACGAGCAATCCCCCGTACATAGTCAATACTACCCTTACAGGCCGCATGGTTCCCAATACGTTTGCGCTACGACCACGACTGTCGGTGACGAGGCCGAGCAACACACAGCTGCGGATACTTTGGGCAAAGCCCGTAGTAGAACAAACGCCCCTTCCTACTGTTGCGAACGGTCGCGGGCATTTGTAGAACCCCCCTTTACCCTAGAGCGCCTTCCCCCCTCCATCGCGTACCCCGTACGCACGGCAAAGCACGAACGTCCCGAAAACATGTCCCCACAACCCAGACAACACCACACATACAGATTGCCTACGGCGAACACCCGCCCCGCACTCCGCCGTCCCCTTTCCTTCCGCCTCACCCTAGGTGCCAGCACGGGTTGCCCAAATTTGAACTAGTCCGTGCCCCGCCACCAGCTCATGGCATGCCAGCCTGATCGTGGGGTGTTATGGCCAGCCGGGGGGGACTCAGAGCACAACTTCCGCCTGCATGTTGAGACGCTGCAAGGCTTCCCGCAGCTCCCCAGGCAAGCCCGCAAGCTCGCACTTTCCGTCACCACCGGCACCGCCGACGCTACCTCTGCCGCCTCCGTTTCTCCTCGCCGTCGCCCCGGAGACAAACGCGCGAGCGGCCAGCGTCGTCAGCGGCGGGGGTGTCTCACGGGCGCAGAACCTCCACATGTCGCCGAACTTGCGCGCCCCGTCCGATCCCCCCGTGACGTAGCAGGCGCCCCCGTGGAAGAACGCGCAGTGGAACGACCGCCCGGTGGGGGCGGAAGGGGTAGCGCGGCCCGCCGCCCCGGTGTTGGTGGCAAAGGCAGCGCTTCCCCTTTGGTCGGACGGCAGCGACACCCACGACAGCTTCTCGCCCACCATCGGCACCGCAGCGGGGGCGGCGGCGGCAGTAGCGGTCGATGGCACGGGTGCCTGCGGCTCGGGCGGGGGGCGTGGAAGGGACAACGGAGCCACAGGCGCGGGAGGGGAGGGAGCGCGGTTGGCAGCCGCTTCTTGATCTTCTGCTCCGCCGCCGCCGCCGCCGCCGCCACCCCAGAGTCCCTGCAGCCGGCCCGCGGCCCACCCCTGCCCCCAAGACAGCCTCCCTCTACCGCGGAGTCTCGGCGTCGTGGCATTGCCCTCGTTGCCGCCGCCGACGCGCTCCACGCTGGACGTCTGCCGCCAGAGACGCTGCCCCCTACGCCGCCAGCGCTCTCTTCCGCCCGCTCGTTCCGGGGGGCTCCTGGCTTGCGCCGCTTCCGGCGGGGACTCCTGCCGCGCTTCCTGCTGCCGCTGCTCCTGCGGTACCTGTTGCTGCGGTACCTGCTGCCGCTGCTGGTTGTGGTGCCGGTGCCGCTCCTCCTGCTGCCATTGCTGCTGCTCGGCGAATTCCGTCGCCGACGCCGACGCCCGGCGCCCCAGACCCCCGCCCCGGAATCCGCTGGGCTTATTCTCCCTGGCGGCCACCGCCGGTACCATCCCCGCTGCGTCCGCCGAGAGAGTCCGCCGGAACCGCCCGTCGACCGCCCGACTGCTGTTTCTCCTCCCAACCGCTTCAGCAGACCCGACCAGATCCTGCGGTTGGGTGATCACAGCCGCCACTGTCGCCGCTGCCGCCGCCGTAACACCGCCGCCACCGGGTAATGGAGCATCACAGGAGGCTACCGCCACGGGAGGCGGGATGGCCGTAGGCGCCACTGCCGCCGCCGCCGCCGCTGCCGCCGCCACCGCTGTTTTTTGCGCCGCGCGGGGGACGGGGGGCGCTGAAGGAGGGAGGCGGAGAGCGCAGAACGTGCTGTCCAGCTCCATGCCGCTGGTGAAACCGCCCCAGATGTACGCCGCCCGGCCGACACGGTCCCAGGCAAGCCCGTGAGCGGCCCGGCAACGCGGAGGCGTTCCCGTGGGCCTCACCCGCTCCCACTCCAGCAGTGCCTTCCCGCCGCCGGCGGTGAGCGGCAAGCGGTAGACGTCGAGGTCCGGGCCCTCCGGCTCGAAGGAGCCACCGCCGACGACGTACATGAAGTCGGCGTCTAAGAAGGCCTGGTGCTTGTAGCGGGGGCTGGGGCGCTCTCCGGTGGTGGCGAGCGCCGTCCACGTGCCGGTTGCCAGGTCGAACGCCTGCGTGTCGTTGAAGTACTCGTGGCCTATGAGTAGGGGGAACGAACGAACGAACGCACGTGCGCGCACACGCGAGAAAAAATGTCACCATCATTGTATGTATCGTTTGAGCATCCCTCCTACGAGTATTTTTGTATCTTTTTGACGGGCACAACACGCAAATTGTTTTTGAACCGAAATCGTATCCGTGCAGCGCTCGCTATCCGTGGATAAATGTGCAGGACAAACTACAGGTGTAGCCATGGATGTCATCACGTTCGTTCAAGAATGTGGTCGCATCAGAAAAACCGTTCATAAACGTACGCCGACGGCAAAGTACGAATAGCAGGGCGGTGTCCGTGATGCCCGACAGCAGTGGCAGCTGCCCTTCCTCAAGAGCTCGTTCAAAACAGTGTAGGCGCGCAACACAGCACGTGGGAGGTGCGTCAATCCTCGGCGGCACAGCGCCCACACATGTCATCGGGCATGATGAGTGGCTGTGGCAGATGAAACAGGATCAAAGCGCTGGTGTGTATGTGCGCGGCAAAAGAGAGAAGAGAGAAGAGAGGGAGACAGCGAGATAGCGTGCAGCTGCTGTAGCCTCGAGGTCACCACCGGACTCGTACTCGAAGAAAGCCATTTTTGGAAAGCGGACCCTGGCAAAGCACCCAGTGGGAGATACGGTTGACACCCTGAGAGAGGGGCTGACAAGCTCCTGCGAAGATTGAGGCGGGGGGGGAAGCTGGTCACACGAACTTGCTCCATGCGCGACGCCCTTTCCGGGACCATCATCAGAGGGGCACGCCGAAATTTTCAAACCTGCGATCCGTCAGACCAGTGCTTGATGTTTGTGTAATGCGCCACTTACCGGTTGAACCTCCAAAAATCACGAGCCGGTTGCGCGTGGAATCGTGAACCATTGTGTGCCCGATGCGTCTGCACGGGCTCATCGTCTCGGGTGCCGCAGATGGCGCCGCAGATCCTCCCTCGTACAGCAGCCGCCACGCGCGGCGGCGAACGCAGAACTCCCAGCAGCAACCCCGCAGGTCGTAGGGGTCGTCGCCCGCGCCGCCCGAGAGAAACAGCCGGTCCTCCGCGTCCTCCCCTTCGCTTGCGCACATCGCTGCGCAGGTGCGCTCCGCTGGTCGCGGCTCCTCGCTCGCAGAGTCCGCAGCCCGGGTCGGGGGCCTCACCTCCGACCAGCGCTGCCGCGCCAGGTCGTAGACGTGCAAGTCGCCCAGGCAGATGGGCAAGGCCTCGGCGGGAAGCTGGGCATCAACGCTGGCCGCGCTGGCGCTGCTCGCCGCCGTGGGATGCCCACATCCTCCGAACACATAAAGCGCGTCCCTGGCAACCGTGGCACAGTGACCGCTCCTCGCGGTCGGGCACCCGCTGCTGTTGACGACGCTCCAGTGCTTGGCCTTGCCCGTCATCAGGAAGGAAAGGCCTGCCTCCTCTGCTGTCCGCCCACTACTGCTTCCTGTTTGGTTCTCGCTCTCTCAACTGCAGAGCAGCAGCAGCAACAACGCCGAAAGATGCAAAGCACGGGGGGTATTTTATTGCGAGCGAGAGCAAAGGGCACGGGCGGTCCCCACACAGGCGATCCACCCCACGTATCTTTGCAGGTATACAGGCGAAGGCAAGGGCAAGCTGGCAAGAGGGACGGCAGGGCAGACAAGAAAGCGACAGCAGCAAAGATACCTGGCGTTCGTGACGTGTGCACCAACAGCAAGGAGCACTCGCGCTGATGAGGTGGTTTCTCGCGTCTGTCGGCAGAGATTTCTCCAGCAGTGGCAAATTGCCTCGTAAAGATCCCGGGATTCGAAAAAATACAAAAAACGTCTTCTCCCTTTGACGGGGCGCGCGCTTGGAAAATACTCGGTGGCGGTCAGCAAATCTGGATCTCTGTGCCGTTTACACCCTGTCTCCCGCTTCTCAATTTCGAAACTCGAAGCAACAGCAGTTTGCCATTCTTGCGCGAAGCAACGAGGAAGGCAAAACACCCACGGGCTGTTGTTTCCCGAGATGGATAGCAACACAACGAAACAGTAGATGCAAAGGGTATATCTACACCGCCACGAGTCACCGCGTGCATGTATGTTTGGTGTCGTATCTGTATACTTACGTTTGCGCGTCTTGGCAGTAGTGCAAAGCAGCCGAGCAGCGGAATTGGTTCCATTGGAACCACCCTGTCTGGACTGTAGCGCCTCGAGTAAGCGACCAAAACTAAATGCGAACAGGGTCCAAAATCCGGTCGGTGCACCCGATGGCTATCAAGCCACAACAAATATATCGTTCGTTTTTTTGGGAACTACGTGGTGCCTGCGCATACATGCATGCAGGGTTCTTGCATGTGCGCATGTTTTGCTCTTAGACCCGATGTCCCGCCTCCAGATTTCAGCTCCCAGATTATGGAATCATGAGTCCGTCGTAGTTGGAAGAGGCGGATTTGTTTCATCATTTTCCAAAAACAGCAAAAAAAAAGCGAGAAAAAAGTGAAGGCACGCGAATACATACAAAAGTCACAGAATGACCGATCGGTCGAGAGAAATGGTTCGAGGACACGATTGACTTGCTGTGAAGATTTTTCGAGGGAGAAGAGAAAAACAGCGGTGAATTTGAGGGGAAAACACGAACAATAAAGTGCGGACCATTCATGAGCGAAGGTGGTGACAATAACAGGTGAATTTCGGCGTGGGAAAAGAAACTTTCGCACGCGCAAGCGTCGCCCAAATAATGAAGCGCGTCGTTGCCGCCAACGATGGCGTGAAAGATATCGCGCACACCGGAAGTAGCCATTTAGTTTTCCTTCACGGCGTGAAACAACGCAGAGCAAGCGAGTGGTTCTTTTTCGTTGTTCTCTCGTCACTAGAATACTCGCAGGTACACTCGAACGCTCGTACGCGCGTCGTCCTATAAACAGAAACGTACATAGAACAAGTAGAAGACAAGCATCCCCTGTTCACACGCAGAAGAATTCGAGAGTAAGCGTCGCCGTCGTCCAATCCAACGAAGGCAGTGTAAAGTCTAGAGTCCGGGCAGACACTTACCCAAAAACGTGTGTGTGTGCGCCAGCTCGCCAAGCAAAACCCACGAAACCTCTAATAAGAGGGGCCTAGGGGCCTTTCTCTTCCTCCTCAAAATCGGACACGGCCACCAGCGACATCAAAATGGTGCTACAGCAGCAGCCGAGCCAAACACGGCTTTTTTACTTTTTGCCGCCTTATCATTTGAGAATCCACAGCGGGAGACGCCTGTGTCTGTACGAAATCTATCCTACCCCCCATCCACACCGCTCCAAGACTCCCCACGGCATTTTGCGCGACAATTCGCAACAACCAACAAGCCGAACGACTGGCCCCGCTCTGCTGCTGCTGACATTGACATTTGCAAAGACTGCTGCTTCTCGGTTCGTACACAAGCCTGGATGGAGCCCCATTGGGCTTTCCGAGGCCGCGACATCATTTTGTCCACGGCCCCATAAAAAAAGTACGGAGAACAGGTGGTGCTCCTTTTACTCTTTCTTGTAGACGGGCTTGACGGGCTTCAACGGCGTGTTCACGTTGTAGTCCCACGCGTCCTTCTGCTTCTGTTAACGTTCAGTTTACGGTGTAACGCCGGCACGGGGGGAAGGGGGGGAGGGTATCAGGGCTCGACAGTAGTACGCAGACAAGCACAACAAAACATTACGCAAGAGGGTATCAGTCAGCACAAAGGAGGCATGCTTAGGCACGACGACAAACGCTTCTAGAGTGCGCTCGTATGCCGCCCGCCGCGAACAAACATGAGACAGCCGTGGTGGTACAGGGTGCGTTTCGACCGTCATGTGTCACATGCCGGACGAACGCAAAAAACTTCAAAATCGTCACCATCATGTCAGCCTCCATGGCCGCCGCGTGGTGGGTACTCTCGCACAACCAAGTGTTCTCATATCAAAGGGGAGGTGTGTGCGTGCGGTGATTCTCGTCAAACCCACCCCTTGGGAGGCCCATATGGTTTCTGTCATGGTGCAGCCGACAATAGCAACCTGGGTAAGTTGTTCACACGGCAGGGAGGGGCTCGCCCGCTCATGTATACCCGCCACTCGAACGCTTCCAAGTTGAAAAGGCAAAAAATAAAGGGCCCAAAAACCGCCGCCGAATCGAAAACGAATCAAGAGGTCACCGTCGCCTCTCACCGATCGAACAAGGACAATATATACAACGCACAACCTCCAAGAAAAAAAAAGGGAACAACATTGGGGGGTGACCTCGGCAAAACGCATCTTGTTTCGGAGCCCCGACCGCCTTTCAACAGACGACATGCCATAGTAGTATAACACTACCATATGGTACAGGCGAGGAATCATAAGCAACGACCGCCGGGAGTAACGTTTATTGGGACCAACAGTGGAAACAGTGTTTGATTCGCAATTTCGTAAAGTATCACAGCAACCAACGAAACCAAGAATCAATGGGGCTGTTCGAGACGACCGTGCACGCTTAGCCGTCAAAAGGCCAAAGCCGGAATCCACCGCCATACCACTATTTAGTTTTGTGAGCTTAATACAACACTCCTTGATTCCAATTTGAACATAAAAGGCTCGCGGCCGACGCACAACCAAGGGTACGTCCGGAACCGCGTGAACCAAAATAAAATCCACAAAACCAAAAACGTCTGCGCAGGCGTGGAGCTGGCAGGTATTGGCTCGTATCGGTTCTCATACAACGCACACATCACCCGTACGTACCTTGTTGACCTCCCCGGAATAGCCAGTGGGGAACGGGATGTAGTCCGTGCCGTCGTTGGTCGAGAACACGCGGCCGACTGCCTCAACGAGCTTCTCGAGCTCGCCCTTCTCTGCCAACTTCGACGAGTCGCCCATCATCGTCAGGACGTCCTCCACGGTGACAAGTTGCATCTGAACNGGGGGGGGGGGGGGGGGGAGACGTCGGCACTGGTTACATGGGGAGGTCACCATAGCGCCAGCAATGAAGAGACAGCAGAAAAAAGGTGGGCCGAGGAAGACGTTGGCAGGCGGCCACAGCAGAGGCTCGTCTTTTGCAGGCACTAATTTACCAGAGCGAGACGCCAACAATAATCAGTCCGGAGACGACGGCGATCGGAGGGAAGAAAGAAGCTAGGAAAAGATGGGCTGAGAGAGACAAACGGGAAGAGGAGGCGGGTTTATGTTGTACGCGCAAGTGAGGAGTATACATGTGTCGGCAACGGGGGCCGTTGGACTCTCTCGTAAACATCGCCAAACTCGTGAGTTGGACAGACGGACGGGGTTAGTCGACCACAAGCTGTCCGTCGAAAGACCGAGACCCTGGGTCGACTCTTGCCGCCCGACCACAACCAAAATATGACATGATGTGCAGTGCATGCAACTGAGAAAGGTCACGTACTGGGCAAGTGTGTAACACGCAATTTTTCTCTTGTTGGTCTGGCTCTCGCGTGGGTACTATGGGAGGGGGACGAGGAGAAAAAACAACGAGGGAAAGTTGATGCCCTCAAAACATGTGTTCACGAGAAGAAGTAAGCGAGTGCTTTGCGTCACGGAGAAGAAGGGCGTTGATGCGATGACGGAGACACTGCGGGGGGGGGGGGGGGGGGGGGGGG